GGGTGTAACCCCGGCGTCCTAACCAAATTTCCCATTGGCCCATATTTATCATGGCCTCCTAATAATCCCTATCTATGAATTGGCTTCATTACTCTGCTCTCCTCCCCGCTGATGTGTGGTGAGCGTTCTGGCGCACTGTGGCTGCCGTCGCATCATCCAGGTGGATGCTGCACATTGGTGGTAGTGGAGGGGAGTCCCCATTACCTGTAAAAGCGCTTTGAGTGGAGTGTCCAGAGAAGCGCTATATAAGTGTAAGCAAATATTATTATTATTATGTCGCTATGTCTATGACTTCAGGAGCTTCAGTTACCTGCAAAGATAGGAAATAACTAGCAAATGTTTTATACACACCTCAGAATAATTCCTGTGTGCTCTATCCAGAATCTTTACAATGACTTCAGTTTCATGCATTTGACCATAGTCCCCAAGCTCTTTCCTGATTCCTCTGAAAATCTTGGTAAATGTTCCTTGGCCTAAACTGTCATGCTGCAAACAAACAAACATACTGTTATCATCATGAGATACATAAAGTAAAAAAACAGATATTTTGTCAAGACTCTGCAGCAAACAAAAAGTAACCAAAGTTCTACAACACTGACAAATTGTTCAACAAGTTAAAATCCAATAAATCTGTGGTTCTCAAACTTTTTGGACCAAGTACCACCCCTGATCAAACCAAAGCATCCAAGTATCACCTACAAGACATCTTCTCATAGGAACCCCAGAAATTCTCAATTATCAACATGAGCGTGTGTGCACGCACACACTCACATACACATATAATAAATATTATAATAATAAACTTTAATAATAGCGCTTTTAAAGGTGGCTTCTCACAGCCCTTTACAGAAAAAAAAACAGGAATAACAACAAATAAAAATAAACAATAAAAAAGCACTATTTCAGTGAGAGGGGTGACCCTGTTTAGTCGAGCAAAGCAGATGTGAATTCATTTTTTGAGCCTTGACACAATTCACAACAGAGTCTAACAGAGTCTTTAAATCATCAGGCATTTTTTTGATGGATGCTGCAGTGCATCCACTTCATATCTGGAGCAAAATCTATTATAATCGTCAGGCATTTTCTTGACGGCAAAGGTCTCGCAGTGGATGTTGCAATGCATCCATTCATTTCTGCAGCAACCTCTCTAATTCGTGCAACTACACCGCTGTGTCAGTTTGTCATCGCTCTAGCACCGTCTGTACAAACTCCGATGCATTTTATCCAGTCGATGCCATTCTCTTCGATAAATTCATTCAGAAGCCGAAATATGTGCTCTCCTGTAGTTCCTGTTGGTAGCGGTTAACAGAACAGAAAGTCCTCATGGGACGTACCCTCAAACTCGTATCTAACGTAAACGAGCGAATTGGCCAAATCGACTACAGACTCATCTAATTCCAATGAAAAGCATCTGCTCATCTTAACGCGCTTTACCAGCGTACTTTTGATATCATCCGCCATTTCAATATTCTGTGAGTGACTGCGTCTTTCAGAGGGGGCAGCAGGTCGAGCTGTTTAGCAGCCTTTTCTCCACACATAATACGTGTCAGCTCTTTTGCCAACGGTAAACAAGGTTCTTCAAAAATAGTGTGGGGCTTACCTGCTTTAGCAATCCGCAAGCTTGTATTTTTCCCCATTACCGTTTCAGGAGTCCGTCTCAGAAGTTAAAAGAAGTTTTTATTTAATGCGCATGGGAGCGAAACACAGAGACGCTCGGTGTATTTTTCTCAAACTAACCTAGAACAGTTCTTAAATATTTTTTTGTTATCTATCACGCTTGCCTGTGCTCACAAGATCACCAGCGTTCCTAGCACGCATTTCTATGCATTCTCCTACCGCTCTATTTGCTGCAGATGTTTTTTTAAATACAATTGATCACTTACGTTCATAGCACGCATTCCTATAGAATGGTATAGAATTACATTGTAGCTCTGTGTCCACTCAACCCGTCCCAATTTTTCAGCACACACAACAAAGGTCCAGGGTCATATGGCATACCAGCTGGTGGTGCTCCACGTACCACTGCTGGTACACGTACCACAGTTTGAGAACCACTCCAGTAAATCATTACAAAATGGCAGTTAATGGAAAAATGTCTAAGTTTGAACTGCCATTACAACAAGTTCAAATTTCTTGTTTCAATGTTCAGTTTTTAAGTGCTATTATGGATGTCTCATGGGTCATCATATTACAACTGGAAAAAAACTGCACAATTGATAAAATCGCAAGATTTTTCTACTTTTTGTGTTTTAACTTTGTGTTACTTAAAGAGTAAGAAACAATATAAAACAAAAGATATTACACTTTGCAACATTAAGGACTACAAGGAATCCTTATAATCTTAACAAAGGCATGTGAGAATTAATTTGAGTAAGTGCCCATTAATCAATACACTATTACCTACAAGACTGGAATGTTCTGTTTCTGTAATCCAGATATTGTGTCCCCCCAGAATTTTATTTTATTGTTTAAGCTCAACAAATCAGTGTGCTAAAAAGCTTATCTTCTCCAATTCATCTGTTGGATGTAGCCAAAGCATCAAAGCCCCTTCCAGCCACTGATGCCTTTATCTATGGGTCAGATCTGACTGGTCTTCACAGAAGACTCTTCTGTGAAATCAATACCATTATTAAGGGATAGCTAGATGTGTGGTTTATGAGGGCCAAAAGTGAAGTAACAGGGGTCAGTGACATGAAAAATGGCTATCAAAGTCAACCCTTAATCCAGGCTCCCCATCCCATATGCTAAAAGCAAATGACAAGTTAATGAAGCTGGTGACTATGCCACTTCACTTATATACTAATCCACTAGCGCTAACCATAAGCAATTTCCCCTTTGATGGATCTCCAGCATGTTAGCATTTAGATTATTTTATTTTTCGGTGTCACAGGAGACAATGACTTTTTGGTGAAATAAAGTCCACAAAATGTCTGGCTGCAGCTCAGTTGTTGATGCATAAAATCTTAGCATCAACAAGGTTTACCACTTTAATTGTGCAGCTGCATTGTCTCTGATGTTGCATTTGTTTGTCAAAAAGCATTTTTTGCTGCATTTTTGTTGAAAAATGCATGATTAAATGCCAGTGAATCTTCATACATTCTTCAATTATTCTTGCTTTTTGTTCATTAAATTATTATAAATGGCTAAGAACCTAAGACATATTGTGCTTTTAGATTTTCACAGATTTTCTTAGCAATTCAACTGGTGATTGAGTATGTCATACTTAAAAAGTCCAAAATGAACAGTAATTGTCAAATAATTACACCCATGAAATTACACAAAAGACTTAAGAAGTATCTCTCTAAAATATAGAGATATACCTAAGAAGATATAAGAAGTGTTTCTCAAACTCCCAACTGCTGGCAGTTGGAGCTCAGCCTGTGCTTTCTGGGTATCATGTACATTGTACATAATTGTTTCTCACTCCAGTCAGATACTCAGCCAGTATGAACAGCCTGTTTAGGGCCTACTGCATTCCAGTTCAGTGTTACTGGGGTGTGCTGTCATTTGTCATTTGGTTTACTCAGATTTGTGGTGTTTTAGCAGTGTCATCCTGAAGCTGGAGCCAGTGTGGCTCAGGATAGTGAGTTTCTTGGCTCTGCAGTATCTTGTACCAGTAGGAGTTTTGGTCACTGGTTTATAGGTGTAGCTATCTTCTATATATTAAAGAACAAGGGATATCAGCCTATTTCAGCACTTCAGGAATTGGTGACCATGGTATTTTTCTCTGCACATGTTTTTACAGAATGGTTTGTGTAGGGCTTTTATTTATTCTTAGTCTGTTACCCCATACATTAAACTGCCATACAGGCCAAAAGTCCGAATTACACTTTCACTTGGATTATGCTCTGTTTTCGACTACTTTGTACTCACATTTTGTGAGATGGTTGATATTGTAGAGCCTCCTTCTTACAGAACATATGGCATACAGATAACTAGGGAGTCTTAACCTGGCAGTGATTCTGCTCTCCTTTCATGCTAAGGTTTATTAAGCAAGCTGAAGATAAGATGGACGTCAGCATGAAATCAAAATTAATATGGTAATATGATAAATTGTGATGAAGGACACTGTAAAGACATAAATTGTTGCTGTCTGACTCATATTTGCAAGTTAAAAACACCCACTCATGCAAGATATACATTAATTTTAGTTTACTTTCACTGAAGAGAAATGTATATGAATCGTAGGCATGAAACTACCAGTGCTTACAATTTCAAGGTCTTCCTTCCTGATTTTGTGGAATACCATCTGACTAATGTTATGTCTCTGCAGCACTGGGGACAGGGGGACATCAGAGCAGCTGTTACTTCTGCACACCAGGAGGTTGGATTTGTCTGTAAGGACAGCAGTGGTTGAAAGAGTGAAACTGGAGAGATATTCAGTATCTTACCACACAAACACAGTAACAGAAAAAAAAAACAAATGAAAGAAACCAAAGACAATAAAACAGCTAACTCCTTATCACAATATCATGGTGATTGCTTTTAAAATTTGGTGTTTTTCAATCCTGAAATTAGCAAGAAGCCAGTGTCATTTTTATTCCCACATTCACAAAACATAGACAGTGTAGCATTCAATCCCATCAAACACATCTGATACATTTACAGCAGTACTACAGGAACAGAAAGGAAAGCAATCTGAAGTGATTCCCTTACTTAAACACCTGCATGTAGGAGCTAAACTAAACAGCAAAAGCAGCAAAACTAAATCTTCATTACATCTGAACACAAAATGGTGTTGCTCTCTTTATTTAAGATTATATTGGTACTATTGAAATTAGACGAGAGAGGGGATTTCTGTATGAGCCAAAAGAGCTGACCTTTGGTCCTGGGTGGGCAACATTTGCTGAACTGGAAGATGATGCCATCTGAACGCACAGTTTCCTTTTGGTAGCAGTTAAGCAGGTCCCGGAGGGTCCCAAAGCTCTTTTTTGCTCCACTCAGGTTGTACTCTCCATTCTCTGTTTTAGTGATAAGGCAGTGTTTGTACTCAACTCCACTTTCATTCTGTGGAACAAAGAGAGGAAGAAAAAAATGGAATTATATTGTATTCCAAATTTCTGGCTCTGGATCTGGCAATGTTAATAGTGCCTAATACAGTGAATGTAGACATTACTGACCCTATTGTATTTTGCCACATTTTGTTGTGTTACAACCAGAAAACCTCTAAGACTAATGTGTTTACTGTATATCTTTTTGATCCATACAATATCCTCTAAAAATCTTCACTGGAAAAAGATTCACCACCTTAGCATTAATGCTCCTTAATAAGCTCTACTTCAAACAGTTGCCTTCAGAATTTGAACAATATGTTTACTGAAATCCATCTGAGTCCAATTAAAGTGGTTTACCATTCAGATTGAACACAACTATCTTTAGAAGGTTAAACACACCTGTTTGTATGAGTTCCCACCATTGGACACTGCATAAAAATCAATATAAAGAAATAGGACCTTCCGCAACAACTACAGTATGGAAGACTGTGTCTCTTTCTCTTAGTTATGAACAGATTAAGTCAGGTGAAGGATACAAAAAAGATTTCAAAGGCACTGAGAGGTACAGAGCACAGTTAATAAGGAAATGGAGGACTATCTAGAATCTTCAATGACCAGGTTGTCTTCCAAAACTCAGGAGTTTGGCAAGAAGGACATTGGTCAAAGAAGTCAAAAGGCCAAAAACAACCTTCCATAATCGACAATATCTCATAATTCAGATGGGAGAAACTGTGAGAGTAAACAGTATCTCAGGTACTGAGAGGTGCGAGAAGCGAGGGGGAAGCCATTTTTTAAAAAAGCTCACATGAAGTCCCTCGTTGAATATGGCAAGGAGGAGCCTCTGAAATTATGTGCAAAAAAATCTGTGGTCTGAATAGACAAAAATTTAGTTATTTGGCCATAATGCCAAGCATTATGTCTGATGAAAGAATAACACTCCTCATCACTTACAAAACACCATCCCCACACTGAAGTATGGTGGTGGCAGCATAATGTTCTGTTTGCTTTCCATTGGCAGGGACTGGGAGGCTTGTCAAGATAAAGGTCAGAACAGATGGAGCAAAATATAGGCAGAACCTGAAACAGTCTGCAAAAGATCTGAAACTGGGAGGGAGATTTATACTTCAAAAAGACAAGACGATGACCCCAAACACAAAGTCAAAGCAACCCTTGAGTGGCTTAAAAAGAACGTGGATGTTCTTGAGTGGCTCAGTCAAAATAGTCTGCAAATTACACAGAAAATGAAAAGCTAGTTACAACATACTGAAAAAAAACCTGAGGCTGTAATTGCTGCAAAGGGGGAGCTAATAAATATTAAATGCTAAAGGTTCTCATGGGGTAAATACTTGGACAAGCTGTATTTTTTCAGTTTTAAATTTTTCATAAAATTTTATTTTACTATAAAAATGATTATGTCCCATCAAAATGTTAATTATGTTTTGTTAACCATATGAAAAATAATCCTGTTCAAATGTGTTACAATTTGAGGTTTGTAACATAGCAAAATACTGTATGGTAGAGGTCCATGGGGGGTCAATACTTTCTACATACATTTTTATAGAAGTCCTCTTGCTGTAGTTGTAAGATAATTAGAGTGATTCTAAAGTATTATTTGACAATCATTCAGTCAAAAATCCTGCATAAATGTTTCATGCAAACAGTGCCATACAAAAGTATTCAGACCCTTCCATCGTGAAATTATATAAATGATGCACACACATTTTTTAAACTTAATATTTTATTTAAAACCAGAATGCTCAAATTGATAATGAGTAAGATAGGCTTCAATTAATGTCAGAAAAAAAAGAAATATTTTGAATGCATAAGTATTAAGAACCATTAAGTCAATATTTGGTGGCCAGTGACAGCACTTACAACCACAAGTCTTTTGGGTAAATCTCTACCAGATTTGTACACTGGTTTCAAACAACAAGAACAGCAGTTGTCAAGTTTTTCCAAAAAAATTTAATAGGATTCAAGTCAAGACTTTGATTGGCCAGTCAAACATATTCACTTTCTTGTTCTTAAACTAGTTTAGCTTTGGCCATGTGCTTTAGATCATTGCCCTTGTGAAAGTTAAGTTTATGTTCCTGTTTTATATCTTCACTTCTTAGATACTTGTACATTATTTGTTCTATGTTCTCATCACTCTTGACAAGCTTCCTACTCTCTACTAATGGGAAGTAGGATTATAAAATAATGTTCCACCACCATACAGAAAGAATGGTGTTCACTGAATGATGTTTGTGTTTGATGATCTGTTTGTGTCAGATGTAATACTTTGAAATTCCAATTATGTCTTGTCAGACCACAAAAACTATTTGCCACGTTTCCAGTATCACGTAGGTATTGTGTTGCAAACCCCATGCAGGATTTTAGACCTATTTTTAGTTCCACACAATCTCCCTTTGTGAAGTGACCAGCCTCAACCACTGAATTTTGTATCTTTTTTCAAAGTCACCTATTCAAGTGAAGTGCTGTCTCTGGTTCACATGCTGTGGCCCGGGCAGTCAGCAGTCACTACACACTCACCTAAGTGTGTGACTTATTATGGTAACTTTGTGCGTCCAAATTAACCTAGGCTTTCCTAAGTCCAAATATAATTACACAAAAATTCCTTTTCTATTACTCTTTCATATCATCTATTTACTTCTCTGTTTAGCAAGCTTTAAAGGAAAAATGTGAAAACCTTTTGTAAAGCATTATATACTGTATAAAGTAGTGCCACATTTTCTCTTAACTCTCTGAAATATGAACTGT